TCAGTGGGGAGCATATGCCTATCATCTTGGAGGCCTAGCTCTGCAAAAATAGAGAAGAAAAAGAGGCTACACAGCACAGCATTACATTTGAATTTCATATGAATAATAAAGCATGGATTAGCAGAAGAATATGCCATGCAATGCTGGGAACATATTGGGGACTGAACCCAGGGCCTTCTCTGAGTGCCATCCCCAGCCCCTTCTACTTACTATTTTGAGATGGGATTTCACTAAGCCAGTAAGTTGCCCTGGCAGGGCTCCAATTGGAGATCTTCCTGGCTCATCCTCTCTCCATGCTGTGATGACAGGAATGTGTCACAACACGTGACTTCACCTTTATCTTTTTTTTTTTTTTTTGGTGGAACCAGGGATTGAACTCAGGCCCTTGTGCTTGCCAAGGAAGCCCTTATTCTACTGAGCCATCTCCCCACCCTACCCCTTTTTACAAAAAATACAGATTCTTGCTATGTAGTTCAGACTAGTCTTGAACTTAATAGACAGCCCAGGCTGGCCTTGAACTTACAGTGTCTTCCTGCCTCAGCCTCCTGAATGCTAGGATTACAGGCGTGTGCTACCATGTCTGACCCTTTGTCTTTCTTAAATTCTCTCCCCTACATACAGCTTTAAAAGTCTTTCTTTTTTTTTAATATTTATGTATGTATGTATGTATGTATGTATGTATGTATGTATTGATTGTGTGGCCAGCTTAGCCCACCAGGGGGCGAGCAGGCTGGCATGTGGTGCTGGGGGATTGAACCGAGGTCTCTGTGCTTTGCTTGAGCTTAGCTTGTTCTAAGTAGATGCTTTAGACCACTGAGCCATCTCACCAGCCCCTTAAAAGTCTTTCAAAGTCTGCATAGCAAGAATAGTTTCTTTGGCTGCTCTTTTTTTTTTTTTTTTTTTTGTCTATGACTACTTATGATTCAATTAAAGCTCAATAAAATGAAAATTTCAGCTTCCCAATAGTACTATCCTCACTCAGGGCTAGATCCTTGTGTGTGCGGAGGTGCCTGTGTTTAGCACATCCCCATCACCGAGGAAAGTTCTGTTGGGCAATGCTGAACTGGAACATTCTAGAAGATTCTAGAAAGAGTGAACAGAGTACTCACCAGCCCCACATGGTGATGTCAAGTCAGATTCAGATTTTGTCAGCCACTGAAATCAGCATAGGCTGACATGATTGCCAAAGGGTGAGTTAAACTGGTGCAAAGTAGGAAATTTGGGGGCTGGGGAGATAGCTCAGTGGCATAAGCACCTGTCTCACACGTACAAGATCCTGAGTTCAATCCCTGATACTGAAAAAAAAAAAAAAAAAAAAAAGGAAATTTCATCACATACCTGTGCAGGGGACACCATCTGCCCACCATCTTTCCACCCGGCATATGGGCACCTGTGGGCTGTGAGTGAGGCCCCGGGGCTCCGCTGTTTCCTGTGTCACCATGGACCATGTTCTACTCTCAGCTGCTGTGATGTGCCGAGCACCTTGGCATGGATATGGATGCTGTCAGAATGAGGGCCTGGGCCCAGGGTTGAAGAGCAGAGCCATGGCTGCCAAGATGGGGTTGCCATCTCGAGGGACCCTAACCTGGGCAGGTGACAGGGCAGCATCCCCACCTGAAGCCCATACCTCAAACACCACCAGGTCCCTGATGAGACCAGAACAGGGGTTACAGGCACTGGACGGGGGTCACCAAAGTGTCATATCCCAGGCAAGCCCTGAGAGACAGGGGTGATGCAATTGTGTGGTGGTCTCAGGTCAGACCTCAGCCCCTTCCCCCGTGCCTGACATGGAGGCCAGCAGTGCTGGCTCCTGGTCTGGTATTTGCTGCTCAGCCCTTCCAGGACACACGTCCAGCTCTATTTACTTCTGCTTGTGGTGGTTTAAATGACAAAGCCACTGGGTCTCCTAACAGAAAGGCCAGGATGATCCTCCTTTAGGCATGGGCAGAGCCAAAGTCTCCATTTGACAGTGCCCAACCTTGGCCACTTCTCCAGCTCTCCCCAGGGCGTGGCTGCTACAAACTCCACCCACAGGCCCAACCACCAGGTGCCCTGGGGCCTCCCAAAGGCGCTGGCCAGGCTGGACTCAGGCTCAAGGCCCTGCCCGTCCCTCCCCAGCCTGGACTGTGAAACTCCAATCACTCTTTTTTTTTTTTTTTTAATTAATGTGTTTCAAACTTTATTCCCAGGCTTCTCCAGCTTAATTGGCTGCAAAGAATGAATTGTATGTAAGCAAAAACTGAAAAGAGCTGCAGTGTCCAAGGGGCTTGGGCTAAAAAAAAAATTAGAGATCTAGATTTTATCAGATCCATAAACAAAAACAATTTTAAAAAGCAGTCATGGGGCTGGAGAGATGGCTCAGTGGTCTAAAGCACCTACTTGAAACAAGCTTGGCAAAGCACAGGGACCGCAGTTCGATCCCCAGCACCACATGCCAGCCAGCACGCCCCCTGGTGGGCTGAGCTGGCCACACACACACACAATAAATAAATGTAATAAATAAAAATAAATAAATATTTAAAAAAAAAGTGTTCTTCTTTAAAAAAAAAAAAAAGCAGTCATAATATAAAATAGCAGCTCCCAGTAATTTCTTCCAAGTTTGATCTTTTTCAGAAGCTGACTTAGTTCAGTTTGTCTCATTCTTAGAAGCCTCATCAAAATTCTCCACAAGATCTGGAACCTCATCGTCATTCTTTTCTCCAGTAGCAAGCGGTGCTTTTCCATCCACAGATTGCTTGGACAGAGCTTCAGCCCATCTCCTTAAGCTAGTCAGACTGTCTGCACCAAGCTGGTTCAAGGTGCTGGGTAGCATTTCTGTCAGTTGTTTCATCTCAGCATGGCCTGGAATGGTGAAGGTGTTGGCTGCCAGAGAAGCCTGAACTTTTGGGTTGTTGAAGTGGATAACTGTTCCCTGGTTTGTAAACATATTCACCTCTTCAATACCAGAGATATTGTTTACCCCTAACTTAATGAGAACTGAAGTTTTTTATCATCTGCTGTGGCCGTTCTATGAACCACCTTCTTCTTTCTGCGAGCAGTTCCTTTCCCACCAATGCACACTTGTGCTTGCAGTTTGGCGAGTTTTTCCTGGTTCATGATAGTTTCTTTCATCTTGTCGGAGCGGATATGGGGCAGCACGGGGGACTAGGGCTGGCGCTCAGGGGGTCTCGGGGGAACCAGCTCTCCAATCACTCTTCAAATGCAGGTCTGCCTTGCTTCCTGCTGCCAAGTTGTCCTTCTCTTCCTTCCCTCCCTCCCTCTCTCCTTCACTTCTATCCTTTTGTATCTTTTCCAGCACTTGGGATGGGAGCCAGGGGTTCACACTAAGCTATATTCCCGGACCCTTCTTTTGAGACAGAGTCCTGCTAAGTCTTCAGTTGTCCAGGCTGGGCTCAAACTTGCAATCTTCCTGCCTGGGTCGTGGGATTTACAGGTCTGCCCCACAACACTTGGCTTCCCTCTCTTTATAATGATACCTATCCTTGGATTTAGGGCTCACTCCATCCAGCCCAAGATGATTTCATCTCAAGACCCTAAATCAAGTCTACAAAACTCCAGTTTTCCAAATAAGCTCCTTGTGCAAGTTCCAAGTGACATTTAATGGACAGGGGTGCACCATTCAACCCCTGCAGCCCACCAAGCCTCCCAGAGTGCCAGCCTGGATGGAGAGGACACCCCAGTTCTACAGGGAGTGCCAGACCAGGGTGCCTGCAGAGCTGGGCTGGAGCCCAGATTTCTTCACCTCTGGCTGTTCCCTCTCTCCTGATGCAGGGGTGACTCCCCCAGGAATTCCCCAGCTCCCCGCTCCTTCAAGCCAGCTCTGTCCTGGGGCTCCTTGCTGAGCCAGCAGCTCTGGGCAGGGCCTCCAGCTCCCTTTGTCCCTAGAGCAGCCAGACACCCTGTCCCACACATGGACCCTGGATTCCCCTTGGTTCTTTGATTCTCCCCCCCCGCCCCCCGGAACTGAGGATTGAACGCAGGCCCTTGCGCTTGCCAGGCAAGTGTTTATTCTATTAAGCCATAACCCTGCCCCCCTCTTCTTTGAAATCAGCGGCGGCCACCAAGTGCAAACATCCACCTCAGGATTGTCCCTCTCCATCACTGCTCAGCCCCAGCCCTGAAGCTGTGGCTTGCCTTTGGAGGCAATCTGGAAGGAGGTGCAAGGCCTCAGTTTCCCCATCTGCACAGCAGGGTGGGCTCTACGCTAACCAGGGTGTCAGGAAGCCTGCCTCTTGGGACAACTGGCCTCTGTTGCCCTCACAGTAGCCACAGCTGTCCCTTGGGCTGAATGCCCACTGGGGTAAGAAACACCTAGGCTTCAGGGAAGGGATGCTGACTGCACCCCACATCCATCCTCTCCTTTGAAACAAGAAAGTGCCACCCACCCCAACCCACAGGGACACCGAGGGCTCTTGTATAGTAAAAAGACTTTATTAAGAAGGCTTTGAAGTCAAAAAATAAAACTCTTGATACAATTTTTTAACCCTTAAATCAGCTCAGCAAATATATAATCAGTAATTTAGCTGTGGAAGATTAAAGGTCCATTACTTTTATTTAAAATAAAATATATTTTAGTTCTTAAAATTTATTCCATAAAGTACACATTTCCCTATAAATTCCCTACATATACACAAGAGGTAAAAAGTAAAAGTTAAAAAAAAAAACTTTAAAAAAAATTTTAAAAAGACAACCAAAAAACACAGCAGGAAGGGGATTCATAATTAGGGAGGAAAAAGAGAAACCTGTGTTCAAGCTCTGGCCCCGCCCCCGCCCCTACCGGTGGCTGCGTACAAAATGATAAACACGAACCCCCAAAAAGAGTTAAAAATGCCACCCTCTTTCTGAAGTGCTGGGGTCATCCGAGACTGGCTGGCAAGAACATACTGTCAAATCTTAAACGGCCACGTACAAAGGGAAGACAAGAAAAGTTGTAAAAATTGTGTTTTTCTCACTTCGGTCTTTAAGGTCACCCTGGGGGAGGGAGTGTCTTAAGTAAAAAGTGCAAGGAGACCTCTTCTCTCGGTTTATTTGAACCTGTCCACTCAATACTGTCATTTGTCAGGAACTGAGGTGTCGCAGCCCGGCCACTGGCTGGCTGTCCCCACACCTGGCTGAGGAGTTAAAGCCATTTCTGGACACTGGGTGGCCCCGGGGCAATAGCTCAACCTATCTTCTCCCACCCCCAGCCCGCCTGTCACCTCCCACCCTGGCACCTGAGGACACCGCCCTGGAGGTCAAAGCCATCGCGCCCCCCGCATGCCCTAGGAAAAGATATGAATGGCCTGGGTGGCCGGTGTGCGGCAGGCGGGACACTCGGGCTGGCTGCGGCCACAGATGCGGACGGCGCAGTCCATGCAGAAGAGGTTGTGGCCGCAGGGGACCAGCGCAGCCATGGCCTCGCCTTCAGCGCACACCACGCACTCGCGAGCTAGGGCAGCGGTGGGCGGGCAGGGAGCCGCGGGTGCGGAGGAGGGCGCAGAGGCGGCTGCGGAGGAGGTGGGCTTGCGGTTGCCATCCGAGGCGCTGGAGTCCAGCGCTGTGGGCGCGGAGAAGCTGGTGCCGCTGGAAAAGGGCGGCAGGGTGCCGTGGGGGGGCCGCCAGGGGAGCGCGCCCACCGGGTCTGGGGCGCCCCTGCGGGACAGAGGGAGGTCCAGGCCCAGGCCACTGCCAGTGCCGGGCTCGGGCAGTGTAGGTGAGTGGCGCGGGGTAGCCGTCCCGCTGCCCCGCCGCGCTCCCGCTGGGGGTGGCCCTGGGGTCCCATTGATGGCGGTGCAGCTGCTGAAGGTGGGCAAGGGGGGCGCAGCGCGCTCAAACGGTGCCCAGATAGTGGCTGCCGTAGGCACAGTGAGGTCCAGGGCCAGGAAGTCAAAGCCGAAGTCGCAGTCTTCAGGAGCGGGGGTTCCTGCGCTGTCCCCGCCGAAAGTGAAACCTCCATTGCCGGAGCTGCTGTAGGGGCTGGCGGGTCCTGGGTCTGGTCCTGGTGGCCCCGCTCGGCCGCCAGTGTAGAAGGCGTCAGGTGCACCCAGGGTGTTGTCCCCGCGGAGACCACCGGTGGCTGTGGCTGGGGGGGGCCGCCGGCCGGGGTGCGGGGCCTTTGCCCAGAGTCCCGCGGCAGCGCCCAGCAAGTCCAGGCACACGTCGGTGCCGTTGGCGTGGAAGTCGCTCTCGGGACCTGAGTCCGCGAAGGCACCAGTGCGCAGCGTGATGTGCGCCTCTATCTCCTCGCGCGCACGGTCCACGTTCTCCGGCATCCCGGTCACCGCAAATACCGGCTCCTTGTCCCGCCCGGGCGTCACGATGTACGTGTGTGTCCGCTGCTGGATGCGCTTGATGGTGGCGCCCTTGGGCCCCACCACCAGCCCCACCACGCGGTAGGGCACGCGCACCTGGATGGTGGTCTGTCCGGGCAGGTTGGGGGGACCTGGGGCAGCACCCGGCAGCCCACCGGCCTTGCCTCGAGAGGCTCGGATCAGGGAGAAGTGCTCAGCGGCAGACAAGATCTCGCGCTTGGCCATCTCCACATCCTCCTTGCGGCCGGTCACGATGAACACCGGCTCCTCCCCACGCACCGGCGTCTTGATGTATGTGTTGGTCTTGGCACGCAGGGCCTTGATCTTGCAGCCTGTGAGGGGAGGCGGGGAACAAGCTGATCCCCTGCCCAGATCAGCCCAGCTGACTGCAAGCCAGTGGGTGCACCCCACTCATTGGCCCCCAATGTTTATTCTCCTACCCGGAGCCTTAGTTTCTCACCTGGGTCCCAAGGGGTGGCAAAACAATAACAACCCTGTGGTGGGCTCCCCATAATTCACGTCCAGCTGGAACTTCACAAAGTGACTGCTAAATGCATTTCCCACCTCCCCCTGGTTCAGAGATGGCAGGCAAAGTGACACGCAGTGGGACACTATTAAAGTGGTGGGGTCTTGGGAAAGCCAGACAGGAGTGCACCACCTTCCTGAATGCCATGGGCATCCTGGTTAAGAGGTACCAGGTGGCTCCCTCACTTCTCAGTGTGAGGAAACATAACAGGTGCCATCTAGCAAGACATACCTGTCATCCCACCACTTAGGAAGGCTGAGGCAGGATGATCACAAGTTTGAGCCCAGCCTCGACAACTAAGCCAGACTCCATTAAGTTAAAAAAAAAAAAAAAAGAAAAAAAAAGAAAAAAGAAAAGAAAAGAAAAGAAAAAAATTCAAAGGACTGGAAACAGGAAAATCCTGGGATGACTCCCAGTGGTGAACAAAGACAGTGCCATCTATGAGGAGGTGGCCCTCAAAGATGTCAGATCTCAGGCCCTTGGTCATGGGCTTCCCATCTCCAGGAACCACCAGCCACAGTAAAACTTCTGCCTTGACAAGTGACCCAGTAGAAGACAGTTACAGGGGCTGGGGAGATGGCTCAGTGGAATAAGCGCTTCCCTGGCAAGCACAAGGGCCGGAGTTCAATTCCTGGTTCCGCAAAAAAAAAAAAAAAAAAGACAGTTACAGTGGCAGGCAGGGGAGGGGGGGGACAACCTGCATCCTCCCCAGACAGAGTTAACATGCGGCCACACCACAGGCAAATCGGACCCCCGAAGCAGCACAACCACATCTTCATAAGAGAAGAACAGACACAGCCAGGTGATGACAGTGACTACATCACACACACACAAGAGGGGATATCACAGCCCGTGATTCTTTTGACCAAAGGACCTCAGACCAAGGGAACCTGGGGTCTAAGCCCGATGGCAGATTCCTGGGCTGAGCCTTGGTCCCCTCTCAAGCCCAGGTGGGTTCCTGAGGGGACACTGGGGCGACCCCTCCAGGCTTAGGAGGCAGAAGCCACACTGAGGTGCTGTTTCAATGCAAGAGGTAGGGTGGTGAGAGGGTAACAGTGTTGCCAATGTCCCCAGAAGGAGAAAACACAAAATTAGGATTCCCTCACTCCCACACACACACACACCCCTTATACTGGTAATGAAACCCAGGTCTTTTACACAAAGCCACACTCTCAACTTTTCTCATGTTTTTTGAGACAAGGTCTCACTAAGTCACTAAGTTGCCCAGGTTGGACCCAAAATTATGAACCTCCTGCCTCAGCTTCCTAGAACTTTTTTTTTTTTTGCAGAACTGGGGACTCAGGCCGCTGCGCTTGCCTGGCAAGTGCTTATTTCACTGAGCCATCTCCCTGGCCCCGGCTTCCCAGAACTTTTGAGAAGATGTCACAAATACTAGGTCAGGAAGACAGGGTGGATCGTAAGGGCTCAGCAGAGGAACAGTAAGAGACAAAGGCAGATACCCCAAGAACCACAGTGACCCCTTCGCTAAAAACAATTCTGAGCAAGACTGGAGGTGGCAGTCACACAAGCTCTAGGAGGGTGGCAGCCTCCCTGGCTGCTCCTGCGACACCCCTACTAATTTTTGAGGTTCTAGTGCTGAATGGATCTGTCATTCTGTCACCCAAACCTCCCCAGCACCCCTCCACTGTGACCTAGCCAGCAGCCAAGGCAGAAGTCACTAGGTGTAAGGTGGAGGATCCTGGCACAGGGTTCTCCCACCCCCTGGACTGAATGAGGTAACAAAGGGGGGTGGGAAAAGCTGGGGAGTGGGCTGAGATGGCAGCCCTGAGTCTGCCTGAGCCACAACCAAGAGATCCAGAACAGCCCAGTGCTGGCTGCTGGCTCCATCATGAGGCTCCCTGGCCTAAGTTGAGTGAAGCCCAGCCAAAAGGTGACCAAGACACCACCTGGCCCATAAAACTGGTCTCTAAAAGTGATCATCACACCTCTGCCCTATGAGGCAAGAGTAAGTGATCCCAGCAGTTGGGAGGCTGAGGCAGGAGAATCACTGTGAATTCAAAGCTGACCTGGGCTCCACGGTTGAGTTCAAGATTAGCTTGAAATACACAGTGAAGCACCAGGGAGATGGCTCAGTGGAATAAGCACTTCCCTGGCAAGCGCAAGGCCCTGAGTTCAATCCCAGGTTCCGCCAAAAAAAAAGAAATACACAGTGAGAACCTGTCTCAAAAAAATAAAAATACTTCCTTGGCAAGTACAGGGTCTTGAGTTTGACTCCTAGCACCACCCTTGCAACAGGCTGCTGAGCCCCAGTGCACAGCAGAGCAAGAACCTGCCCTGCCTCTATCCTGAGACCAGAGGAAGGATCCCAAGGTAACACCCACAGGGGAGTGGCACCGTGGCTTCCAGGATGACCTTCTTGGCCCACTGGGAGTCTCTACTCTGAAGCTCTCAGTGGTGGTGAGTGGTAGGAAGGAGGGTTAGGGAGAATCGCTGAGAGTTCAAGGCCAATGTGGGCAACACAGCAGGCTCAGGCCAGCCTGGACTCTCCAGCAAGACCCTGTCTCAAAAAATCAAAATCAAAGCAAACAAACAAACAACAACAAAAAAAAAAAACTGAACAGGGCCAGGGAGATGGCTCAGTGTAATAAGCGCTTCCCTGACAAGCACAAGGGCCTATCCCCGGTTCTGCAAAAAAAAAAAAAAAAAAAAAAAAAGACCTAGGCTTAGTAGTAAGCACTTGACCCAAGTTCCATCCCTCACACCAAAAACCGAAAGACCTGTGAGAAGATAAAGGGTCAAATGCTTCCTGTGCAAGACTAGAGAGACCCCGCAGGGGCTGCACCATGCTGGGCCCAGCCAACACTAGAGGTTGTTCTGCAATGGAGAAAAACCAAGGGTCAGAACTCAGGGTGTGTGGGAAAGGGTGGGCCCCAGGTGAACTCCTGACCTTCAGCAGAGGGGTGGCCATGGTCCTGGGATTCAAGGGGAGAGGAGCAGGGCTCCTCCTGGAGGTGGGGAAGCTGGGAGTTCTACGGTGGAGGAGAAGCAAGAAACTGCATTCTGCCTTCCCTCCTGGGACCAAGCATCCCCCTACAGTGTATTGTGACACTGGGACACAGTACTGAGATTCAAAACCAGCATCTTGAGTGCCCTCAAAACAATCCAGAGGGAGATGCTGTCACCGTGTCACAGAGTGGCTGTCACTAGCTCTCTGGTGCCTGTAAGACTTGAGCCTGTTACCCAACCAGGTGGTGGCCACAGGCCAGATGCCCTTCCCCTCCTCCTGTCACCACCTCAGGTGGCTGCAGGTCTCAGGACACATGCAGTCACGGAGAAGCAAAGAACACTCGCATTCCCCTTTTACCCAGAGCTGGGGTCTGGTGACTTCGGGAAAAAGACCCATGCCTTGGTTTGCATTGTCCACTTCAGCACACAACCCTTACCCTGCTGTCCTGTAATTTATCCTGGTGCAGCTACATGGGACAGGAACAGGAGAGGGACTCAAGTGGAAGCCAGCAACAGGGTGACACAGGGAGCTGTCTAGACTAGGGTCTTGGGATGGCTGCACACGGGGACAACAGAGCTCAAGAGCCCCACCTGTCTCCTTCCCAACTGTCACTCCTCAGGGGGCATTCCCAGGCCCAGCAGAATGCCAGCCCTCCATGTGTCCCTGTGCATGGTGGACAAATGAGTGACTGAAAGAGGACTGCCTGGCCAACCGCCCCACCCACCTGGAGCTAGGGAAGGATGACAGCTACACCTGCATCCCTGCATCCCACCAGGCTCAAGGGTGACAGGCGTCCTTGTAGTTCCAGTACTCCACGCCCTTCCTTCTGTTCATTAGACTTGAGGGTCTAGAACCGGGTCCCCTCCCCCAGCTTCAGTGTCTTCGCCCTACCCAGGCTCCACCCCAAGTTTTAGAACCCCGCTGATTGCAGGTGGTCAGCGAGAGCGAGACACGGAGGGGCAGGTAGGAAGGCAAGAGAAAGTTGGGGCCCATGGGTTGAACCACGGTGGGGTTAGCGGGGGCGGTGGGTGTGTGTTGGGCCCGGCATTGCCCACCACCCACTCGCCCGCCCACAGCTCGAGGGCCAATGAGCATCGGCCAGCCTGATGTCACCCTGCGAATCTCAGCCTGGCTCTCTAACAAAGAGAACAATGGGGCGGGCAACAGGGGCCACTTCAACAATGCCGCGGCCAGGGACCCCGGCGCCCCAGGTCAGCCCGGGGCCGGTTGCTATGGAAGGACAGGGGTACTCCCCAAAGCAGCTTCTGCAGAAAGCTGTTCCACCAGCCCCAGATTCCTGACTGGGGCACAGCATGGGGCATCCCCCACCCCATCGGGACCCCGGGACGGCACACTGGCGCGCACCCTCTTTGTGCGCCTTCAGCCCAGACTTCACTCCTCGGCCCGAGGAGGCCCTCCCTAAGCCACCCCAAACGTGGGTTCGCCCCGCCCATGCCTGTTGTGGGGGTGGAGCGCCTGCCGCCCAGCCAGGGCTCCAGGTCCAGCTCCCTCTCCTGGGTGTCTCAGAGGACCCCACGGAGCCCCCGGGGGCCTGGACAGCGGGTGCCTCGACGTAGACAAAGGCGGCAGCAGCGGGCGGAGCGTGCAGGGCGGAGCGCGGGCTGCGAGCAACTTTCTCCCGCGACCGGACAAAGGCGGTCACCCGGGCCCGGCCCACGCGGGGCGTGGCCGGGGTACCTAGCATAGAGTCCTACCGCGGGAGGAACTGGGGCAGAGCCTGGGCGTAGAGTCCCGGGGTGTGAGGGGCCTGGTGAACGCACCCCTCCCTCCCCCGACGGTGGCCACTCACCCTGGCGCCCTACGATCTCGGCGACATGCTCGGAGCTGGGCACCGGCACACACTCAGTCATGTTCACGCTTTTCTTGCGGCTGCCGATCACGCTCAGCGGCTCGGCCATTAGCGCCGGGGCACCCAGGGCAGCGGGGTGCGGCGCAAAGCCGGCGAACACGTCGGGCGCGGGCGGCGGCGGCACGGCGGGGCTCCCGTCTGGCTCCACGCGCGGTGGCGCCTCGGGCCCATCGGGGGGCGCAGGGTCGGGCTCCCCGCCGTCCGCGCCGTCTGTACCCGGGACCCCCGAGCGCCCGAGTCCCAGTGCCGACAGTTGATCCAGCGCCAGGCGCAGCGCGGCAGCCGCGTCGTCGGGCTCCGGCGACGGTCGGGGCGCGGCCTCTTCCGCGCCCGGGCCCGGG